ATACAGACACTTTACCACTTAATGGAATCCAACAACAAAAAGAAAAACCAGAGTCTAATTTGTCATTTTATATTTTGGTCACATGAGGCTCAGAGTTATTGGGAGTCTGAGCTAGACTCTACTCTCCTGCTCCCGGCTCCCAGTACCCAGCCCTTTGCCTCTGTTATGCTGATTAAGCCCAGCAATGCTTATGGCTGGAGTTGCCTTGGGTGCCCCCTGGGAATACCAATAGGTCTTTTAGTTCTTTGAGGCCATGGTTATAGCCTGGTGCAGTCTCCTGGCTTTCACTTCATTTCAAGATAGTTACTTCTTCCTTCATCATGGAGTCCACAAGCCTCTGACAAATTGCTAGGAAACTGAACAACAAGAGAAAATTGTCCACATGAAGTATATACATCAGAACTGTCCTCTTAGCTGGTGTGTGTTTAACTTTATTTTAAAATTTCCAATGCATGTAGGAAGCAGCAGCTGTAGTTCCATATGCCACTAGTCCAAGACTTTGTGTGGTGGGCAAAAGCACCTGTAATTAAGAAATAAACTTCTAAAATTACCAAATGATGGTCAGAATTTCTTGCATGCCACTACACAAAGCATTTGGTCAAGGTCTCCTCCTTCCCTCTCTCTTCTCCATTTTAGCAGCCATGTATTCTTCGCTTCTGTGCGTTGTTATTTTTATCTATAATTTTTGGGAAAGTGAAGTATCAGCAGTTGAAAGATGACTTGGGGAGAGACATTTTTATTGCTTAAGTGATTCTTTTCAGGGAGACAACTGAAGCCAAAAAGGGATCATTGCAAACCTAAAGGAGCTTGAGAAAATTTACACCCTCTAAGGTATTTTAAGCCTTTGGAGCTATTTTGAGAGAAAAGACTTATTTTAGGTTGTGGAGAGTCCTATTCCATAAGAGTAGAGCTAGATAGCAGCCAGCTGGTATGGTGGTGGGGCGGGGTGCCGGCTCTAGAACTACACTGTCTGGGTTCAAATCCTGCTCCTACCACCTGCCAGGGGACTTGACCTCGGTGCCTCCATTCCTTATCGCAAAAAGGGAGGGGCAGTCCCCATTAAAAACACCCACCTTGTGGTAGGACTGTGAAGTTCAGTGAGTTGCATTTGTGTGCTTATGTTAATTAGGGCTTCTTCCATTGAGAGTGACCAATAGTTGACCCAAAGCCAGAGCCAGAAGGCAGTTTATTGCTCACCAACACAGAAGTCCAGGAGTAGGACTAGATTCAGGACTCCCACAGTATCATCGGAACATTACATCTCTTCAGCAAGATGACTGACAATAGCTTCAACCTTTATATCATTTCAGGGAGATAGTCGTATCATTGACTCTGACTGGTCATCATGTCCACCTCTGAACCAGTACTGAGGTCAATCTTGATTCACATATGATGTTTCAGTTGCTATAGGCCTGGGTTTCATGGCTGACTTGAGAGCTGAGAGAACCATATGGCCTGAAAATGTGTGCATGTAATTACCCAGAGGGGGATTGTGGTTGGTTACCAAAGGCAGTAGTCACCGATAATGGTTAGCACTGTGAGTGACTGTTCTACAACCTGCCTAGTAGATGTTAGCTGGTGCCATTATTGTTGTTTTTACTGTTTGTCCATCAGCAAGGAACCCTAAAGCAAGTACCTTTGTGATGCCTAATCAGTGATTGCATTCCATACTGGGAATTCACCCCAGCCAGCTATTTATCATCCTCCCAAACTTTTTCCTTTGCTCTTCTCATCTCATGTTGATCTCCTCATTTTCTTGTTAATTATTAAAATACAGCTTTATCCTTCAAAGCCTATTGCATCTATGGAATCTCCACGCTTAACATCTCCCTGATCTGAGAAATGCTGCAGCTATCACCCTCTGTCCTGTAAGGCACTGAGTGTGAAATATCTTTGAACATTATAAAGTGCTGTAAAGCACTGTCTTCCACTCAATATGTGACTCTAAAATATTCATGATTATGTAATCATTCTGTTATAACATGGTGGTTTAGAATAAGGCGACTGGGTTCAAACCTGCCTTTTTCACTAACTTAATATTCACTTGTGAACCTGATGAAGATCATGGAGCCTTCTGAGCATCAGTTCCTTCATCTATAAGGGAGTACAAAAGTGCCAACAACTCAAGGTCATGCATGTGAAATGTGAACCTAGTATGTGTCACATACTTGCGCATGCACTGTATATTCTTATAAGCAATTTTAAAGTAGGGAATGCATATCCACCCTTCCATCTTTGCTTCCCTTGAGTTTGTTTATATTATTATTTAACCTGTAACCACAAGAATCACTGGCTTGTAAAGAAACAGAACATTCAAACTTCATAGAGAAATCAAAGCTTTGTGTTTTATTTTTAAGACAAAAGTTCTGTGACATTTTAGTGGTCAAGGTCTTTTCTAGACCAGAGAGTCTAGGAGACACAAGCTTGTAAAGTTTCTGCTTCTTTGGCTCAAGTTTTTGTCCTGGCACCTCACTCCCCTTCCTGCCTCTGCTAATGGTATACCTAACCCTGCACAACAAACTGTGGAAAATTCTTAAAGAGATGGGATTACCAGACCACCTTACCTGCCTCTTGAGAAACCTCTATGCAGGTCAAGAAGCAACAGTTAGAACTGGACATAGAACAACAGACTGGTTCCAAACTGGGAAAGAAGTACGTCAAGGCTGTATATTGTCACCTTGCTTGTTTAACTTATATGCAGAGTACATCATGCAAAATGCTGGGCTGGATGAAGCACAAGCTGAAATCAAGATTGCCGGGAGAAATATCAGTAACCTCAGATATGCANGGAGTTGGTGATGGACAGGGAGGCCTGGCGTGCTGCAGTCCGTGGGGTCGCAAAGAGTCGGACATGACTGAGCAACTGAACTGAAAACCCTGCACCTGGGATGTGGCTGAGGAGGGATGTGGTGACAAATGGCTGAGCGATTTGTCCAACCTGTGCTGTGGAGCAAAACGAAGAATGATACATTATGAGAGCCTCAATGTTCCTTGTCTGGAAATGACATAAATATTAGATTTTGCTGAAAAATGACACCTGTGCATTGGAGCCATTAAGAATTCTCCCAAAAGCAGGGAAGCAAAGAGGTTCGCTAACATCCTCTTAATAAAGTCTGGTTTCTGCTGACAGAACCCAAATAAATATACTTGGATGGATGCTCACCACCTATTGGCAGGTTTTGGGAAGTGGCCAGCTTTCTGTTGAAGAGATGAGAAAGCCTTTTTCTTCTCCATTTTAAGTGAGGGCATAGTGTGGAGGAGGAGGAACTAGGTCAGCAGTTGAACAGAACACAGGCTGAGTGCAACCCCTGGCACCTGAGAGTTGTATGCCGTGGACAAGACATTCAGCACAGGCCCTGCAGTTTCAGTCAGTGATTTTCAGTTGTGACGGACACAGACATACTGAAACACATTCCTTTCAAAAGGGTAACATATGTTGTTGTTGTTTAGTCACTAAGTTATATGCAATTCTTTTGTGACCCCATGGATTGTTGTCAGGAGGGCTCCTCTGTCCATGAGATTTCCCAGGCAAGAATACTGAAATGGGTTGCCATTTCCTTCTCCAGGTAATCTTCCTTACCCAGGGTTCCAACCCGAGTCTCCTGCATTGGCAGGTGGATTCTTTCCCACTGAGCCACCGGGGAAGCCCAACATAGACCTTTCTTTTTTCCTGAGGTAAAATTCTCATAACATAAAATTCACCATTTCAATGATTTCAAAGTATATAATTCAGTGGCTTCCAGTCCATTCACAGAATTTTGCAGCTGTCACCAATGTGAAGTTTTTTCATTACCCCCATCTCCAAATGCCTTGCTCATAAAGTAGTCATTTCTTATTCTTTCCTCTCCCTAGCCCCAGGTAAACACTAATATACTTTTGTGTTTATTGGATTTACCTTTTCTGGGCATTTCATATAAGTGGACTTATAGAGTATATGGCTTTTGTGTCCTGCTTATTTTGTTTGGCATAATGTTTTCAAGGCTCAGTCATGTTGTACCAGGTATGAATACGTCACTCCTTCTCATGGCCGACTAATATTCTGTTATATGTAATATAGCTGATATATATAGACATATCTATATATATCACACATACACCATGTTTTGTTTATCTGTTCATCAACTGATGGACATTTGGTTTGTTTCCTCCCCATGTGGGTTGTTTTGCTGTTATGAATAGACTATTGAATTTTGCTTCTCTATGAACGTGTGGGGAAATAACTCTTTGGTGACCCAACCTAACCTCTCAGTTCAGGTAGCCCATGGAGAGTAAAACAAGTATTTGGTATTAGTTCCAAGTTCTGAGAGAAGGGACTTGGATAGGTGAGGTCATCAGGCAGCTGTCCTCCTGGGCTGAGGCTATGAGACAGACTCTGATGTGGGGGCAGTGTTGCTTCTCTCAAAGGAGCACGAGGCCAGAGCAGGCACAGAATGATCCCTTTCTCCAGGTCCCCACCATCTTTTGCTTACACCTCTATTATAGCCCCTACAGGGCTGTGTTCTCTGTTCTAGTCTGTTGGCTGGCATGCATGCTCCCAGTACCCAGGACCCAGCTGGGGTGACTGGCACATGGCAGTTGCTCATTTAATAAGAAGCCAGTACATAATGGAAGGGCTCTTGATCTTTTCTGCTGCCATGAACAAACACTCTGTAGACTTACAATTCCATTCCTCAGACTGAGGATTGCTGACACGTCATCCAGGAAAAAGTGCCTGATGGTTTTCTTTTTATTTTCCTGTGACCCCCACAGGAAGTTTCCTTCCCTGGTCAGCACTCTCAGTGCTTTGGAAACCAAACTGGTGGACTGAAAAGTACTCTTCCTGAGTACCAAGCAGATGGGGTCCTGGGGATGATGCGAGGAGCTGAAGCAGGATCCTGTCTGCTGTAGCCTCCTGGGCCTGTCTGCTGCCGGGCAGTGAGCCTTGCCTTCCCTTTGGTCTGTGTGGAAACCTCCCTCTCAGCTTACAGGAGCTCAGAGCACGCCTGGGTAATGGCTACCTGGGGCTCCCAGCCTACCAGCCATGGTTACAGAATATTTATGTATAGTATTTATCAGATTATTTAATGGGCAGCTCTGAAGTCACTCTGAAGTCACAAAATAGCAGTTGTCTTGTCTTCTAACAGCTCTCTAGACGCCCATCTTTCTGCAGTTCCACGGTCTGCTTGTTTTGGCAAAGACATGGAAATGGGGTCAGCCGACTTCTGCCAGGGCTGAGTGTGAGGGATTCAGTGCATCTCTACAAAACTGAACAGGATGTGCTTCTGAAGCCAGAGCTCAGCCGCCAGTCAGCCTGCCACTTTGCATACCGTCTGCTTGGGTCGCTGTCCCACACAGGTTCCTCTTGTTCAGCTTTCGTCTTCACCCGACTTTAGCTCGTCTCAGCACAGAGTCTTTTTCCTGCCAGTTCTTCTCCCCCATGGCCTAGCAAGGATGTGAAATCTAAAAGAAGATAAGGTGGACAGGCACAAATAGCCGCAAATGTGGGGTTGGGTTTAGATGTTCTGGAAACAGCGTGAAGGAAGCCACGGGAAGGTAAAAGTGGTGATGGAACACAATGAGAAATTCTCTTTTGTAGTGAAGTTTGAGAATGAAGGCCTGCTGTCCCAAGGGGTTTTGGAGGTGGTATTGTTTAGGGCTGCACCGTTTCCTCAGGTAGCCACTGCCCACATGTTGTTTTGAGCACTTGAAGCCAGGCTAGTCTGGATTGAGATGGGCTGGAAGTGTAACATAGACACCAGATTTCTTGGAGTTAGTACCAAAAAGTTAAAACAAAAAAAATCCCAAAGTGAAACAAGCCTCAATAATTGATTGAATTTTGAAACCAACTTTTACATGTTGAAATGTTAATTTTTTGATATATTGGGTTACATAAAATGTGTTATATAGATTTTAATAATTTTTCAGTGTGTTTTTTTTTTTCTATTTTTAAATGTAGCTACTAGAAAAATTTGAATTACATGTGTGGTTGACTATATTTCTATTGGACAGCACAGTTTAGAGGTCAAGAGTGTGGGCTCTGGAGACACAAGGTATATGGATTTGAACTGTGGCTCCACAAATCATAGTTGTAGGACCTCAGGAAAGTCACTTAACCCAGTGGCTTCCAAACCTTCCACAGAGACCCATTTCGATATTCTCATTGTAAAAATCCTCATGTAAAATCATGTTTTACAGTACTTTTTGTTGTACACACACAAATACACATACTGAAAGAAAAATAATGAAATAATACCACACGATTTGCATTCTGATATCTCTGTTCCGTGTCTTCTCCTCCCTCCTCTCCCCTCTTTTTTCTGTTCATTTAATACAACATTTGTCATGGCCTAGTAAATGAATTTCACCTCACACTAGGGATCACAAACCTGTTTGAAAATCCAGACTTAACCTTTCTGTGCCTCAGCTCTCTCATCCATAAAAAGGAACAAATACTATCAGGATATCAAAGCCACTTTGACAACATACATAAAATCTTGTAGGTAAGTCTTTTGTACAATGCCTGGTATATAATAGAGCAGTTGATAAATAGAAGAAAACATGATTCCAAATGGATCTTCAACTTTCTGTATAAACAGTAGTGTGGGATATATAGGAAAAACTCTACTTATATGTTAGGTGCTCTTCTTGTTAATGTTATTTTAAGTGAGCCTTTAAGTTTCATACTATTTTTCCCTCCAAAAGTCACCTGGCTTGAGGTTATGTGGCATTTCCAGAGTGGGAATGGTAACTTCCAGCCCACCTTTGATGCTATTGATGCTATCAAGCCAGCTCTTCATATGTTGCTTCATAAGAGCTCTTAAGTGCTTTTTCCTTATGTATATTCTCTTCCCCAAGTAGGCTGTACGTTCTCAGAGGACAAGAACTGTGCCATCTTTCACTTTTGTTCCTTCTCCATCACACCCAGGACGTGGAGGGAACATTAGTAGCAGAGATTTTGGAGCCACGAGGTCTGGGGCTCAGACCTGGGCTCTGCGACCCACAGTGCTCTGTGGCCTCCTGGCCTTAGTGTCCTTATCTGTGACATGGGAGTAAAAGTGCCCTGTTCTCAGCTCTTCCATGAGGATTATGATACCACTCCTATGGCAAAAAGTGAAGAGGAACTAAAAAACCTCTTGATAAGAGTGAAAGCAGCGTGAAGAATCTGGCTTAAACACCAGCATTCAAAAAACTAAGATCATGGCATCTGGTCCCATCACTTCATGGCAAGTAGATGGGGAAAAAGTGGAAACAGTGACAGATTTTCCTGGGCTCCAATATCATAGTGGACAGTGACTGAACCCGTGAAATTAAAAGACACTTGCTCCTTGGAAGCAAAGCTATGACAAACCCAGACAGCGTATTAAAAAGCAGGGACATCACTTGACTGACAAAAGGTCCATATATTAAAGCTATGATTTTCTCAGTAGTCGTGTACGGATGTGAGAGTTGGACCATAAAGAAGGCCGAGTGCTGAAGATTTGATGCTTTCTAATTGCAATCCTGGAGAAGACTCTTGAGAGTCCCTTGGACTGCATGGAGATCAAACCAGTCATCCTAAAGGAAATCAACCTTGAATATTCATTGGAAGGACTGATGCTGAAGTTCCAATACTTTGGCCACTTGATGCAAAAAGCCAACTCATTGGAAAAGACCCTGATGCTGGGAAAGATTGAGGGCAGGAGGAGAAACAGGTGACAGAGGATGAGATGGTGGATGGCATCACCGACTCAATGGACATGAGTTTGAGCAAACTCTGGGATATAGTGAAGGACAAGGAAGCCTGGCACAGTGCCGTCCATGGGGTTTCAAGGAGTTGGACGTGACTTAGCGACTGAACAACAATGGTACATGACAAGCCTGCTGCAGGGTGTGAGAGTTGTGGTTGGGTTATTTTTATGACAAGAGCTTTAAGAGCTGAGTGGACCCCTAATTCCCCCACATCACCTCTGGTACACAGTCAGGTGCCTACGATTCAAAGCACTCCCATTCTGATGTTTTTGTACATCAGTTGACCCTCTTTGGATAAACTCTGTGCTACTTCTGATCAACTGGAACACACACAAAGGCCATGTTCCCTGAAAGGGGCTTCTAAGAGTGGCTCATGCTAGTACATCAGGCCCAACTTCTCATACTTGCTCAGGCAGAAAAGGAAAGAGACTTGAAATCGTTCAAGGCAGCTCCCTGCAGTCTCTGAGCCCCTGAACTGGGCCATGATTGATTCAGCAGCTCACCCACAGAATGGATGAATCTGTCCCTATGGATCTGCTTACCAATAAGGGCAGATCTGTGTTCTCTGCTGTGGGTTGGCAGGGCGCATGCCTGGTGGTCATATTAACCCTCAAGACTTAACTTCTGTATTTGTCAAAAAGAGATGGGCTTCTAAGATTTACGAGGTTTTAAAACATTTCAATCCCATGTGTCTTTCATTGCCCTGGTCCCATTCCAGGCTGTGGAAGGGACAATGGTAAGATGAGAAGTGTCTCCTCTCAAGGAACTCAGCATCTAGTATGTTTTAAGTTCCTTCTCTTCAGTCTGCTGGTGAGGGAAGGATTCAAGTGAAGGTCATGGGGGGCAGCTGAATACATGACACCTGACACTGGATGAGTGAGATGGCCAGCAGTTCATGAGTTGTGTGCGCTCACTGCATAGGGAAGGAGAACTCTGCATGAACCACATGAGAATTGCAACTAGAATGGAGCAAACAACCAGGTGCTGTAGGAGGCCAGCTCTATGGTGTCAAGATGGTGAGGTGACCCCTTGGTCCCATGGAAGTGTATGATTGGCTTGTTTGAATAATTCCACGCACTGTCAGAGAAACAAAACCTGCTTCTCAGGGCTGAGCAGGAACTGTCTTATCAAGGGGGCCATTATCTGTGGAAGCAGAATTGGGAGGGGGACTTGTGATTAAGCCATCTGGAGCCCTCCCTGTTTCAGATGTCAAGACAGCATGTTGTATTAGATCTTAATTTTAGGCCTTACCCCTCATGGTGGTAAGTGACAGACTTTATTTTCTTGGGTTCCAAAATCACTGTGGATGGTGATTACTGTGAAACAAAAAGATGCTTGCTCCTTGGAAGAAAAGCAATGACAAAACTAGACAGCATATTAAAAAGCAGCAGCATTACTTTGCCTACAAAGGTCCATATAGTCAAAGCTATGGTTTTTCCGGTAGTCACGTACGGATGTGAGAGTTGGACAATGAAAAAGGTTGAGTGCAGAAGAACTGATGCCTTCCAACTGTGGTGCTGGATAAGACTCTTGACAGTCCCTTGGACAATAAGGAGATCAAACCAGTCAATCCTAAAGGAAATCAACCTTGAATATTCATTGGAAGGACTGGTGCTGAAGCTGAAGCTCCAATACTTTGGCCACCTGATGTGAAGAGCCAACTCACTGGAAAAGATCCTGATACTGGGAAAGATGGAAGGTAGGAGGAGAAGGGGACAACAGAGGATAAGATGTCAGTGTCACCGACTCAGTGAACATGAGTTTGAGCAAACTCTGAGAGATGGTGAAGGACAGGGAAGCCGGATGTGCTGCAGACCATGCGGTCACAAAGAGTTGGACATTACTGAGCAACTGAGAACAACCGCCTCATGGCGGAAGAGGGACACTTGAAATACGCCTTTGCGATGGAGAGTAACGCTGGCTCAGTAGGGACTGAATACTTTTCAGAGTACATCCAGCTCAGTGTTGAGGAGGAGTTGGGGAAGAAGAGTCCTAGAACTCATGACCTCCAACCTGGGATCCCTCAGGATGGAAAGTCAGAGGACAGGTGCTGGGTCACAAAGTGCTTTACCTGATCAAAGGGCGATGGTCAGAGTGTCCATCTGCCTTGTAGAGTGTCTTAGGGAGTGTGCGCTACGTGGCAGCTGGTCTCTCAGCATCCCATCTCTTTCTCTTTTTCTCCAACGTGTTTTATCTTCCACCCACCCCACGTTCATCCTTCAGGCCGCTCTTCCTAGGTCAATTGTTCTCAAAGGTCTGATCTCTGATCAGCAGCATCTGTATCTCCTGGGAACTTGTCAGAAATGCAGTTTCTAGGTTCCCATTCCAGAGCACATGATATCCAGGTTATAACACTTGTGTTCTCTCTGTGCTCAGCAGTTTGGTGTAAAGAGCACAGTTTTTTGACAGGGTAGATTTGGATTTAGGATTTGGGTCCTGTTTCCACTACTTACTAGCTGGATAACCTTGAGTGAGTCACCCAACTGTTCTGAGCCTCAGCTTACTCATCTATAAGATGGGTGTCTTGACAGTAGCCACCACTTAGGGTTGTCAAAGGGATAAAATAAATAATGTGATTAAGGGTTTAGCGAAGTGTCTGATGTTTAGTAAGTGCTCAACGAATATTAATGATTATTATTGAGCTACTAATTTGAATTCCATCTTCACCATCTATTATCTATAAGACCTGGCAAAGTAACCTTGAGGCCTCAGGTTCCTCAGCCATGAAACAGGGATAATAATAATGTCAAAGTAAAAGATTTTTGTAAGCGATAAATGGGGCTTTCCTGATGGCTCAGTGGTACAGAATCCACCTGCCAATGCAGGAGATGTGAGTTTGATTCTTGGGTTGGGTAGATCTCCTGGAGAAGGAAATGTCAATCCACTCCGGTATTCTTGCCTGGGAAGCCCCATGGACAGAGGAGCCTGGTGGGTTACAGTCTACTGGGTTGAAAAAGAGTCGGACATGACTTAGCAACTAAATAGCAAACAACAACAAGAGATAAATGAGATGATGAATGCAAAGTGCTAAGATCAAGGAAGCACAGAGTAAACATCTATTACTATTTCACGGGCATTTCTCCTTGGCTCCCGATTAGGTTATCCTGTGGAAAAGAGCTTCTGAGACAGACAGAAAATGGGTGCCAGCAGCCCCAGACAGTGCGCCTCCACCTCCTTGAGGAAGGACCTCTCGACATCCATTCTTACCTGTCTTCTTCCCTCCTAACAGAGGTCTCTCCTGCTTTCTTATTCAGGATCTTTGCTCATACTGCTAGGCAATGATCATTTTGCTGGTTGGATTTTAAAGAAGGGAGACGGTTTTGTGGCTTACCGCTCACCTCCTCCCATCCTGCCTCACTTCCTCTGGGCACCTGGAGCTTACAGGAGTTCATGCATTTTAATTAGAAAAGAAATCCACTGATAAGATGGGAACATTTGTCTACCTCAGGCAAACCTGAGATGCTTCAGGCCCATAGATACTTTGACTCAGCGTGGGGGAGGTCTCATTTACCCATCTCCAAGCTACTTCTCTTCTCCAGAGTAATGATCTTAAAGTAGTTGTCCTGCAACTCTTGGGCAGAGTACATGACATTAGTCTTCATTATTCAGGGTTCTCGTTTCTTCCCGCACAATTACTCTGTCACAGTCCTATTATCATTTTTTAATGTTATTTTTTTTAACTGAAGTATAGTTGAGTTACAGTGTAACTGTCCACTGTCTGGTGGACAGCAAAGGGGTTCAGTTGTACATAGATACATATGCTTTTTTCCACATTTTTTTCTGTTATGGTTTATTATAAGGTATTAAATCTAGTTCCCTATGCTATATAGTAGGACCTTGTTTCTTATCTGTTTTATATAAAGTAGTTTATATCTAATCCCAAACTTCTGATTTATCTGTCCCCACCCACTTTTCCCTTTGGGAAGTTTGTTTTTTATGTACCATTTCTAAAAAAAAAAATCAGTCACTCCTTACTTACTGAATGCCTGCTATGCACCAAGCTGTCTATGAGGGTCTTGACAAGTGCTACTTCACTTAAGCTTTATTCAGTTCAGGAGGAATGTGGTATCATGCCAATTTTGCAGCTGGAAAGACAGACTCAGAGTGTGGAGAATGGGGCATGCTCTTAGCAAAACTCAGAAATTACTGATCTGTGCCCCCTCTCTGCCACCACCATCTCTGGGTTCCCAGGGCTGTTCTGCCTCTTCTGACAACTCAGGAAAGCTTCCTAGGACACCCATATCCCAAGCTAGCTCTCCCCAGCAGTGGGCCATATAGTAGTCCTTTTTCTAACTTTTAATTTCATTAAAACTTGTTCATTCTTGGTTCCATTCACTTAGCATCCTATATTTTTCAAAACTAATTTAATAAACTAATTCCAGGTAGAGTGCTGATAGCTTATGGTGGATTACCTTGTGTAAAATTATCATCTCTCCTGAATGTTTTATATTTTGACTTTTAAAGCCCAGAGTTGAATTTACAGGCTTGAGCCCCTTGACCACCATGTCCCAGAATGGGGACATAACCCTTGTTACCCAATTTACAGCATGGTGATTTTTAATTTATTTATTTTTATTTTTAATTGAAGGATAATTGCTTGACAATGTTGTATTGGTTTCTGGTATACAACGACGTGAATCAGCCAGAAGTATTCACATCTCCCCTCCCTGCTGAGCCTTCCTCCTCCTCCATCTCATGCCTCTTGGTTGCCACAGCAGCAGGCTGAGCTCCCTGTAAAGCGCGGTTGTTTTAATCTCCGGGTGTCAGAGCCTGGGCTGCTGGGGTTCAGACCTCGGGAATGGTGCTTTCATTTCAAGTAAGGCAGGGAGGAGCAGGGGTGGTGGTAGAAGGTCTCAGAGCCCCTGTGAGGTTACCTATGCATCTAAGGCTCTGACCCATCTGAGCTGCTTGTCCCCCTCTGCCTACTTCTTTTTCTATTACAATGTGAGGGTGAGGTGATGCCTTTATGCCACATAGTTTTCCTTTTTTTTTTTTCCTTTGACATACTTAAAATTTTTTTTTATTGGAGTACAGTTAATTTATAATGAGGTTAGTTTCAGTTGCACAGCGAAGTGATTCAGTTATGCATGTACAACTATTCAGTGGAGACACGGAAAGTATTTCCCCTCACAGTATATCCTATGGAGAGTGTAAAGGCAGCCTTTCCCAGAGATGCTCCTCTGCCCCTGCTGGTTTGGAAATTAACCTCACTTCTGCAGCCGATGGTCTCATTTCTATCTCCCACCTGAGTCCCTAACATGCCATGATGCTTTGAGTTCTTCCTCCTGTATTTGGCATGGGGGATGGTGGATCTCTCCCAGTGGTAGGGTACCCTGGCCTCCTGGTATCCACTTAGGCTGGTTGTTACTGGCAAATTTCTTTTGAGTAAGCATAGATTATCTGACACCTGTGCTGTATGCTAACAACTAATTAGAGCATAACCAAAGTATTGCAGAGCTGCATGGCTCCCTGAGCTGAAAGCCCAGGCTTAAATCCTCTTTGTGTTGTAGTTTTAGTGGTGCATGCTGTGGATTTTGTGAAGGCATTTTGTTTTAAGTATCACATCCTGGCTAGGCCCCTAAATCTATTCCGGCCCTCAGCATCTTCAGCATGCTAAATCCTGGGAGGGGTCTGATGGGTGAGAATTGCCTCTGATGGTTGAACTCTGATTTGGCTGCAACTTGGAAAGGGCAGTGACCAGCCTCGGGTCACCTGGGGGCAATAGGTAGAGTTCACTCCTTGTCTGTATATAAGCTGCTCATTGACCCCTGGTTTGTTACCTGCTCAGAGAGGTTCTTCATCACTATCTGTCCAGCAACCAAGAGGCTCCCTGCCCATCATTCCCTAGCCAAATCCAGTGGATTATCTTCTTAGCACTTCACAATACACAACCACTTATTGGTTTACTTCCTTTCCCCTCTCCGTACACCCCGCCCCTGGCCCCCAGCCCGAGATGTCTCCCTCTGTTTATTTAGCCAACACATTTTTGTTGAGTGTGTACTGTGGACTGGGCACCATTCACAGGGCTGGGGATGTAAAAGTGAACAATATAGAGAAAGTCCTACCTTCACTGAGTTTATATCAGAGCAGGTGATGAAGGAAGAAGCAAAACATAGTATGTGAGGGAATGGAGAAAAATAAAACAGATGACAGGGACACAGGCTGCTCTGTTGGGTAGGGTGATATCCTGGGGGAGCATCTTGGATAGGATGACATATGAGCAGAGACCTAAATAGTGTGAGAACAAAGGTCATCCGATATGCTTTACTTATCCCTCCTTCCAGGCCCTGTCCCAGGGCCTGGGTGAAAAGAACAAATGAAGGAATAACTGAACACATGGGAAAGAATGGAATCTAGATCTGTAGCTTTCCTTCTTGTGTTAGCTCCCCTAGGGTGAGCATCAGGCCAGTTTGCTTTCAGAAGCCCCTCTGGCTCTCTTGACACCAGGTCAACATTGTGGGAGGGAGACTGGTGGGAAATGGAGCTCCAGACTCATGGCTGAATGACCTGAGTTTTGTTTCCCTAGCAATTACCAAATCTTTGCCTTAGTGTCTTTATTGGTAAAATGGGGGAGTAGTTTGACTACTGACTTCATACAGTATTTTATGAATATGGAAGAAATAAGAAATAAACAAATAAGCACATGCAGATATGGATATGGAATTAAATAATATCTAATAAGTTGGGACCTTGCATTGTATTTTCATTTCATTAACAACCCCATGATAATGGAACCATTAAAAGTTCCACTTTACAGATGAGGAAATGTAGCTCTGAACATTACTTAAGTCAGGAGTCTCTAACCTCTGGGATCTAAAGTCTGATGATCTGAGGTGGAGCTGATGTATTAATAATAGAAGTAAATTGAAGTCACTCAGTCATGACCAACTCTCTGCGATCCCATGGACCGTAGTCTACAGGGCTCCTCTGTCCATTGGATTTTTTAGGCAAGGGTACTGGAGTGGGTTGCTGTTTCCTTCTCCAGGGGATCTTCCTGACCCAGGGATTGAACCCAGGTCTCCCGCATTGCAGGCAGACACTTTACCATCTGAGCCACCTGGGAAGCCCTAGTGTACGGTAAATGTAGTATGCTTGAATCATCCTGAAACCATCCCTTCCCCTGGCCCTGGTCCTTGGAAAAATTGTCTTTGATGAAACTGGTCCCTGGTGCCAAAAATGTTGGGGACTGCTGACTTAAGTAACTTGCTCAAGATATTAATAAGAAATTAGTAATTGGAAGAGTTAAGGATTCAAACTCAGTACTGTCTGATTCTGGAGCCTGGGTATTTAGCATCTTTTGAGATTATCCTCTCCTTGGAAACTTCTGTACGAGGCCTTATTCTTTGCAGCTTGTTTTCCATTGCTTAAATAGAAAGACTCTTTTTAAGTAAAATTCATCAATAGTGTCCGTTAATTATTTACTAATAGCATTAACGAAGTGAAGCCACGCCGGGAGGATTTTTCTCCTGGCATCACGCCTAAGTTCTTCTCCAGCTTATTTGATTTACTAATACAAGTATTTATGGAATGAAAGAGGCTTCCCATGACACATTCAGAAAATACAGAGAGCAGATCACTTATCTTTATGCTGCTTAAAACACTGCTGTGGAGGAAGATGAAGAGCTTGAAATCTCTCTCACTCTCTTCCCCAGCCTTTCTCACTCAGCCTCTGATGCAGGGACACCACATGCTAGCTCTTCTTTTGCTCACAATGAAGGCTTGGTGAATGCTTGATTCTCTTTCCATCTTGTTACATGCATTCAATATTTAGACAGTGTTTTGTCTCCTAATTTAGCAGTTAGATCTCAACTTACCTTGTGATCTGAGGAGAGGACCAGGCTGATTGAACCCTTGTCTGCAAAAGAGAAAACTAAGATTGGTGACATCTAAGGTGAGTGGTCTCTGGACCTCACAAAGTTGAATGGATTGAACAGCTTATGAAAATACATTTCCCTCTATTTTCCCAATGCATATCCATGGAGCATCAGAATCTGTGAGTGGGGACCTCCTACAATGCATTTTAATCAAATTCCCCAATGATTTTAAAGTTCAGTAAAGTTTAAGAATTTCATCTTATAATTTATACCAACATGCACGTTCAAAGTTTTTAACAGCAGATGCTGAGGGTTGATTCTGGAGTGTGTCCAGAAAGAAGGACCAGGGCTGTGAGAGGGACCCAAGTGCCTAGTGTTTGGGCATCAGTTTAAGGAATGTATGGTGTGTTCCCTTGGCTTCTTTAAATATTTGAAGGGCTGTCACATGGGAAGAATTAGACTTACTCTGTAGCTCTAGAGATCAGAGCTAGGACCAGCGAGTTGGTGGAAGTTATAGTCAAGTAAGTTGCAGCTCATCATAAGCAGGGACTTGCAACACTCAAGAGTAGCCCGAGAATAGAAAAGGTTGTTTCTGTGGGTGGTGAGTTCTCTGTCAGTCACTGGAGATGTGAAAGTTGAACCTGACTTCCTGGATTGATAAAGTACTCATGTACAGAAAAAGGTTAGACTTTCAAAAGGTACTTTCAAATGCTGACATTTTATTGTTTTATAATTCCTTTCTTCTCTTTTCAAAAGTTGTCATAAGGAGTGTATGTGTGAGGCCGTGTGTATGCTTGTGTGTGTGTGTGTGTGTGTGTGTGTGTGTGTATATATGCATGTGCAAGGTTTGTGTGTGCTTGTGGGTTGTACTTTAAGAGAAATTATGATTTATTTTGGGGAAAAAAATAGAAGCTAATTTATTCATTATTCAAGAAATATTTTTGTTGTGCCAATTTCTGTGCCAGACATTAGTAATTCAGAATTGCCTGAGAACACAGTTCTAGTCCAGAAGGAGATCTCAGTCTAGTGGAGGAAGCTGACTAATAAAGAGAAAATGATAATGGCCTGTGATGAGTGCAATGAAGGTAGCAGGTGCGGGGCATTTTGGAACACCAGGAAGGAGCTCCGACCCAGCCTGTGGATCTGTAGGGTGGGGAGGAGGGGAGTGGGCAGGGGAAGGATTCCTGGTTGGAGTGGGTGTGATTTTGACTACTGAGTAGTCTGGGGCAGCCAAACAAGGGAAGAGACTGAGCGAAGGCATTGGAGCAAGGATCACTGGGAAATGAGTGGAAATGCTGAGAAGTCTGTGCCTTTGGAGAAAAAAGCATGAGACTGTACGGTAGGAAAGGAAGCTAAGTGTAGAGGTCCCAGATCACCAGTGTCCCTGCGTTCCATGCTAAGAAATGTGGCCTTTTTCCTGTCAGAGGTGGGGGTTCCTTGAAAATTTTAAAGCAATGGAATGGTAGGGACTAACCTCCTCATAAGTAAGATCACTCTGGGACATTTTGGAGTTGTCTTATTCATGTTATCTGAGGTAGAGCACATGTTGGGATGGCATTTGTGATCTCATTAGCTGATAATCATGGTCACCATGGTGCAACATCATAAAAGGCCTGTGAGGAATTCCTTGGTGATCCAGAGGTTAGGACTCTGAGTTTCCAATGCAGAGGACATGGGTTCGATTCTTGGTTGGGGAAATAGGATCCCACATGCTACTTAGTGTGACCCCCCCAAAAAAAATAATGCCTGTGAGTTATAGAAAACAAATTGATGGTCACCAAATGGAAAGTGAGATAGGAATAAACTGGGAATTTGGGATTAACAGACACATACTGCTACTGCTAAGTCACTTCAGTTGTGTCCGACTCTGTGCGACCCCATCCCTGGGATTCTCCAGGCACACACTACTATATATAAAATAAGCAACCTACTTAGGGACCTACTGTATAGCTCAGAGAACAATATTCAATAATCTTGTAATAACCTGATAGAAAACCTGAAAAAATATATGCATAACTGAATCACTTTGTTGTGTACCTGAAACTAACACAACATTATAAAGCAATTATACTTGAAAGAAAGGAAGGAAGAAAAAGGCCTGTGAAACTCAGAAGGCACAAACCCTGTTGTTGCATGGACTTTCTGTATCAGGAGGACCTCCTTACAATGTTAGAATGTTCTTCACTTTCTGCCATGATCCCCTGTAGCACTGCTAATGACACAGCATCTCATTAAGTGAGGTTATTTACTAACCTTGGATGCAGATCTAAAAAAAACAGGGAACAGGAGTGATGTCCTCAGTATGCTTTATTCCTATCCAAGCACTTGATTGATATCTCCAGATACATTGGTGCCCAGGATACACATGAATATTTTTGCTTAGGTATTGCATACCTCCCTACCAATGCATAGGAAAAAGACCATACTTTAAAATTTATTCCAAATATTTTCTCTTTTTAAATCTCCAGTATGTCATATAGATGTAGTGGGGCTGAAAAATTAACTGAGGGGTTTAGAAATATTGCAGATTTGCTAGAAACTCCATTTGTGTTGGCTTCTTGTTTGTATACAAACATCTCTTTCAACACCAACAGAGAAGACATACGTATGCTGGCAATTCTGTTTGTTTTGCTTATCAGTAAGTGACACGCTTGCTGCAAGTAAATAAGTATGACAAAAGACCAACTTTTTCCTGCTTCTTTTTGCTTGTGGAGGTGTTTTGTCATGTTGCTAAGTTACCAGTGCTGAAGGATTCTACTTTGGGGAATGGAAGTTATTTTAAAATATCTAAGAAACATCCTTTCAGAGACTTTCTTTGCAAGTTAGTAAGGGTCTGCAGTGGGCTAAAGAATGAGAAAGAACCCCAAAAGTCTTGCAGATCAACTTCACTCAAACATGAAAAGCATTTTGATCAAGATACACAGGTTAAAACTGGAATATTTCACCAAGGAATTGTCAAGTTAGGAACCTGGAGCATTTAACCAATAAACTGCTTGCTGGACCTCTTGCTTCTTCACTGCTGGACTATTTCCTGCTGAGGTGTTTATGAGTACAGAGTTGTATTCTTTCATTTACCAAATAATTATTGAGCTGGACACTAGAGGTATGGCCGTAACAAGACAGATGTGGCTCTTTCCCTCATGGAGTATACTTTCTGTTCCTGCTAAGAGGCTATTGTATTTATCAGGATTCTAGCTGTGTAAGTGACAGGAACCCACTTTATCCTGACATAAGTGAAAAGAGAATGGATTTGCTTAAGAAACTGCAAGTCCAGGGGTGCAAGGTGGATTAGGCATGGCTGGGTTCTGTGGCTCAAACGTTGATAGGGAGGCTGTTTTTCCTACCTCTTCTTGTTTTCCCTGTGTTTGTGAGTTCATTCTGTCATAACACAGATAGGGATTCTCCCATATTGCTAAGGAAGATGGTTGCTAACAGTTCTAGGTGGGCACAGCCCCAATTCAGGACCCCCATACAGAAAGAGAACTTACCTTTTTTAATGCCTACCTATTATTAACCTTATAAAAGGGCTCTGATTGGCTCTTCTCAGACCATGTGCTCATTCCTGAACCAACCAAAAGGAGCCATGATTGGTCAAGCCTATTGCTTGTGATGGGAGATGATGAGTGGCAGGAGCAGCTGGGTCTATGCAAGATATGGTAGCTGGAGAGAGAAATGTGTCGAGTGACTAAAAACAATAGAACTTTATGACCTAGCTGAGCGAGTCAGCATAGAAAACTCCAGTGCTTTAAACCCAACCGTATTCTTGGTGACATAAAGGAGTACCTGCCAGACACAGCCCTCCTTATTTCCTCTTTCTTTTGTCACATGCAAATGAAAGTGACTTCCTAGAAATAAGTGCCTCCTGACTTATCAGGGGAAGAAAATTTCATCCAGCTTAGATACAGTGGCTCCATTATGTTTCCCTGATTCATAACAGGACAGATAAAAGCTAGTAAAGCTACCACAAGTTTGGCAAGGCACAAACACAAATGGTGTCACCTTCAAGTGACCTATACTCCCTAAACTGCAATTTTGTATCATGAGTCATAGTAGGTAAGAGGGAGTACAAATAAGCAAGAAAATGGTCCCTTTTCCTCAGTGAGCTTACCATCGATTTAAAGAGAAAAGATACACATAAAAGTCCAACATAAACTCAAGAACATGATAAATGTATTTGCGAGCATTCGGTGATGATAAAACAATGGACTGAATTACTATCATCATCAATGGAACAATAAAGAATAAGGGGCCAACTGAAACTGTTTCTAGGAGTTTTTATGGCCTTCTTTGGCTGGAATTGTGCCTATGGTCATTAGGAAGGCTTTCTGGAAAAGGTGGAACTTAAAGTGGGTCTTTTTTCCTCTACCCTTTTCTGGCTGCACCATGCATCTTGTGTGAACCTTAGCGGCTTGTATTAATCTCAGGGATTGAACCCAGGTCCCCAGCAGTGAAAACAGAGGGACCTAACCACTGTACCACCAGGGAGTTTCTTAAAGTGGGTCTTAAAAGATAAGCTAAAGATATTATGTGTAAAGGATAGAATTCTTCCCCTGTAACTGGTCGTGATTGCTTAGCTTCCTCGTGGCTCAGCAGCAAGGAACCTGCCTGCAATGCAAGAGAAAAGGCAGGAGACTCGAGTCTGATCCTTGGGTCAGGAAGATCCCCTGGAGAAGGAAATGGCAACCCACTCCAGCTTTCTTGCCTGGGAAATCCTGTGGACAGAGGAGTCTGGTGGGTCTGTGGGGTGCAAAGAGGCGGACACAACTTAGCAATTGAGCATGCACACGTTCTCAAATAAGCTTTGTGATAGTATGCTACTGCCTTTTGATTTTATTAAAGGTCTCGGGGAAGATGTGAAAGAGGCTGGTCTCTTCTGCATGAGAAAGGAACTTATGAATGTTGGAGACCAGAGAGGTATTTGGAACCCTTACCATAAATGTATGCTCTTCAAATATACAGATTATTAAAGGAAACTGCTATCTTTTGGGGGCTATTTCTGGTCTTTGAAATTGATATTAACAAGATAATGATTTCCTTCCAAACTTGTAGAATTGAGGTTGCCATAGCTACTTCCTACAAGAATAATGACTGATAGTTGACCACTTATGAAGCACCAGGCTGCCTCTCTATTAACCCAAATTGTTCTGAGGGTAAATATCCCAATGGAGAAGCTGGGCTGAGATAGAAATCATCTGAAGAATAACAGCTATCTTTCAGACTTTCTATTTTTTTCTAAATTGCTACATCCTCCAAATCAGATTTTCATAATCTCTGAGTTTTACCACACCTTTCTGAAGTTGGGGTCCAAGCTGTGCTGAGAGAGTCTGCTTTCTAGATCTGTTCCAGACTGATGCATGCAGCTGTCTGAGCCAGCACTAGGAGTGCGTGGTGACTGGAGTGCAGGAGAGCTGCCTATTGCCAGGCACTGCCCCAGCTCTTGGGTGATGCACAGCCCCCGTGGCTTGCTCTGCCAGTCTTGTGGGAGAACTCCTACTCTGTTCTGAATCAATGTTGAACCTCTTGGAGAGCGGCTTCCTTCCTTGTGGGAGGTATCAGAAGAGAGTCTTGACATGAAGGCTACTTCCTTTGTTTCAGAGAGAGGACTTGCAAGTAAATCTGAAAAAAACACCAGAGACAAGTTCAGAGAGGAGACATCCTAGGCTTGATGCCAAGTAGATATGACTCCTGGCTCTGCCTCTAACGAGCTATGCCCTTGGGTAAATAAATGGCTTTCCCTCTGAGTCTTAGGGTCTAAAGGTGTAAGTGGGATTAATAAAACCCACTTATTAGCTCAAATAAGGTAAATAGAATGATAATAATAAAAATTGTTAATGTCCATTCTTGTTCACTTTTATCCTTCTGTGAATAGGGTTATTATTATTGTAACCATTTTATAGATGAAGAAACTGAGATTCAAAAGAGGTAAGCAATTTGTTTGACACCACACAGGTGGTAAAAGGCAGAGCCTGCTTTCCAGTCAGAGCAGTCTCACCCTAAAAGTAGCACTCCTAACCAGTACCCAATGCCCCACAGTATCTGGCTCAGGGTATAGAAATGAGACAGTAAGTGGTATTTGGGGTAGGAGCTGTGAAGAAGACTAGCTGTTCATGGAAACAAGTGAGATATTGGATGTGCTTAGGTATCGGGGCAGGAGGTAGGCAAGGAGCCCCCCGCCCCTGCCCCTGCTTTCCTATTCCATGGAGACCCCTCATTGCTGTGACTGGTTCACACACAGTGCCCAGTATGAGGCAAGGGTTGCCTTTAAAGGAGTTTCATTTGGCTGAAATAGATTCAGGGTCTTTCTGCAGAGGAACCTGTCAAAGGAGAGTTGCTTTCTGAGGAATTAATTGGAATTCCCTTAGCATTCCACTGGCGTCAGCCTGAACATTGTTCATCCCCCCATAGATTATCATTAATCGGGTGAGCAGGGAGACAGAAGCAGCCTCTGATAGCTAATTTATTAACTTCTCCAGGATAAAGGCGTGGGACTGAGCTGAGCAGCTTGAATTTACTTTGAGGGATTTGGGGCAGAAAGCCCAGTGCTGGTACCATGACCCCGATCTGAATCGAGAGATTAACGACTTCTGGTCTCAACAAGGTTTAGGATGAGAGTTTTCTGAGACCCATAATTTTTATTACACTTTTGTTCTTTTTTCAGTTCTTGGTTCTCTCTTGCCTTCTCTCAGAAATCCTCCCCATAATAAAATCTCATGTGTGTTTCTTCACTTCCAATTGGGGTATTTTGGGAATACTGGTCTTCCAGTAGCAAGGAACCATGTTTTGCAGTAGTAGAAGTTAACTTTGACACTTTATACTCTTCTAGATTGCCTTTCATACCCACTGGACCACCCATCCTTGTTGTTTAACATGGCCTTCAGCTTTAGGCTGCAGGAAGTAGTTTTGATACCTAAAAGAATGGTTGTGGGGCTGTGACGCTGGCTGGCTTAGGTTTAAATGCCAGTCTAGGCACTTTCTTTGAAAAGGAAATGGAAACCCACTCCAGTGTTCTTGCCTGGAGATTCCCAGGGACGGCGGATCCTGGTGGGCTGCCGTCTGTGGGGTCACACAGAGTCGGACACGACTGAAGCGACTTAGCAGAGCAGCAGCGGCTAGGCACTTTCTAGCTGGGTGGCCATAAGCTAGTTACTTAACTTCTCTGAGCATTGATGTCCTCATTGCTCAGTGGGGATAATCTTAACTGCTGCACAGGGCTGCAGCGTGGATTAGATGTGATCCTGTGTGTTGTGTCTACACCATGGTTGGTGCTGCATACCTGCTTATTTCTTCTCCATTTTTCCCCCTTAGGAATGAGAACGAGGGATTCTCATGCCCAGGCATGAGGGGGCTTCCTGATTTCAGGCCAGTGTTAACATGGGACTTACAGAATGGGCACAGGCTAACACCTTCTAGCTGCCTGTCCTTTGAAGGCACAATGGAGGCTGGCCGGGAAGACTCTTCTGGCTTCAGCTTTGGTTAGTGGGGTCCAAGTATTAAGATATCTTTTTCAGCTGCAGGAAAAACTCCTTGAAGCCAGTCTACCAGGCCTGCCTTGTAGAGATGCGGGCCACCACTGTCTCTTCCCTCAGTCTCCTTGTGCACTTGACTTCAGCCACGGACACCTCTGTAGTGTCCTTTCATGAGGTCAAAGTAGTTCATGGATGGATGCTCACTTGTAGCCACTTTTGTAGCCCTTTGTTCTGCCCCCACTTGCCCCCGCTCTCCACTGAAGATTATAGGCTTGAGTTTACAAGTGATGGTCTTTGAAGTCACACTGTTGGGCTTGACATGGGATTTAATTTTGCATATCTTAAGACACTATGTAAATAGAATCATACCCTATGAATTGTTTGACAGTTTGCTTTTGTTGTTTTTCACTATGCTCCTGAGGCTCATTTGGGTTGTACTTGTACTTTTAACTCCTTTTCCCTACTGCATAGTACTTCACAGAGTGCATATATCATAAAATATCAGTTCTGTAGTTAATAGGCTAGATAGGTCTGTCCATGGAATTCTCTAGGCAAGAATACTGGAGTGGGTTGCCATTCCCTTCTCCAGGGGATTTTCCTGACCCAGGGATTGAACCCCGGTCTCCCACATTGCAAGTGGATTCTCTACCATCTGCGCCACTAAGCTGATAGATGGTTAGGTTGTTTCCTGAATTTTATTGCTGTAACCATTGCTACTATGAACACATACTGAATGTTGGTGTACATTTTCAAGAACTTGAGAGCAGATTTGGAAATTGCTGGGTCATGGAGCATGCCCATCCTCAAGCTTGTCACCAAATAGTTCAACAGTTCAAGTTTAATGCCAAATAAATTCTTAGAGTAATTATAACAAAATTCACCTCCTCTGGAAGTGTGGAAGTATTCCACTGTTCTACATCCTTATGACCATTTGGCATTACTAGAATGTTCCCCCTGCCATCATGACGTGTGAATTAGTTTCTCAGGATTTCATCTGGTGTGTATTTCAGTGGTTTGCATTTCTCTAATTTCTAACGAGATTGAGCATCTTTTTGTGTATTTCCTAGCCAGTTGGATTTTCTTTTTGTAGAGTGCCTCTTTAAAGACTTTTGGCCATGTTTATGTGATTGTTATGTTTTCCTTATTTGTTTTGAGGATATCTTTATGTATTC